ATATGTGCAGTGTGCATAGGAATTTGTTCATAGTTTTAAAAAAAAACAACCAACTATAGTCCAGCCCTCCAACGGGTCTGAGGGACAGTGCATTGGCCCCCTGTTTAAAAAGTTTAAGGACCCATGGTTACAGCATGTACTCGACAGCAGTAGATCACCCACTGGGCGGATTTGTCTTAATGGCAGACATGGCCAGGGTTGCCAACGTAAGTGTGAGTAGAAATAACAGACCAGACTCTGGGAAGCACAAAGCGTCTATGTCACTTGAACATGTGCAAAGAGTCAGAGCTACCTGGAGGCTGGAGCCCTGGCCAAGGTTCAGGCGCGGTGTGGCGGTGGGAAGACCACAGTGCCTGCCCTCAGAGCCAAGTCGGGAGAACAGAAATGGCCCTGCTGTGTGCTGAGCGCCGGAGCTGAGGCTGTGCAGGATGGGTGCTAACAAGAGCACAAAGGCGGGCACCTGAGTCAGGGAGACCTCCCGGTTAGGCAGGTGGCTCTCCCCAAAGTGTACGGTCACAAGGACGAGGATACTCTGTTTCCTTTCCTCTGCCCTGAGCAGCCTGGCGGTTCACGAGTTGCTCTGCCCTTCAAACCCTCCAGCTGCCCCTGCACAGGAGCAGGAGAAAGGGGACACCTTCATTCCCACGGACATCGACAGCCCCAAAGATCCGAAAGGGTAACTGCATCCTACAGCAGGGATATGAGCCGGGACTGAGCGGATGGCCATGAGTTTTAGTTTAGGGAAGGCGCTCCGGTGGTGTCGTGGTTGCGCATAGGGCTGCTAACGACAAGGTCAATGTCTCAAACCCACTGGCTGCTCTGCAGGAGAGAGATGAGGCTTTCTGCTCCCGCAAAGACCTGACCACCTGACCGCCTTAGAAACCCGCATGAGGGTCGCTATGAGTCAGAAACAGCACTGCCGAAGTGGGGCAAGACATGGTGCCGAAGTGGGGCAAGCATGATGGAGCCCTTCTAGAACTTACAAGTAAGCCTAATCGGAGAGCCCTTCTGTGATTTCAAGGAGAAAGGAGGTACCCTGGCTCTCCGAAACCTTCCCCACAGCCCAGCAAACCTGCCAGCCCTCCACCTCCTCAAAGGGTGCAATTAAAGATGCATTCTCTTAATCCTCTCTTAAAATGCAAATCCTCTCAGCGCTTTTTAATCAGCCTTTGGCATCTTAATGTGAATTAGCCATGAGTATCTTGTCGGAGGGCTTTTTTTTTTTTTTTTTAAATCAGGAGAAGGTAGTTGATGAATGGGCACCTGGATGTGGGACTCAGGCCTGAGAAGCAAATGAGGGTGAGTGATCGGAAGAGGAAATGAACGTCAAAGAAGCAGTACCTGAAAGAAACCTTATGGGAACTTGCACAAACGCCCAATTCCAGGGGCCGAAGAACTTCTTCTACCCTGGCTAGTCATCACCCCACACCACCATCCCCACCCCCAAGAGTAACCCCGTTTCGGATGGAAGCAGTTTGACAAAGCACAGAAACAGACTAATGTTCATCGACTCCTCACAGCTGTCCAGCATCTTGCTCATCTGAGACCATCTGAGGTTCGTCCTCCCATTCAGTAGTTCCCAACCTGTGGCGAGGCCACCCCCATTTACCAGGAGCAAACGTACCCCAAGGGTCCTGGAGACGTGCCTGCAGTTACAGCAGATGGGAGGCAACACCAGGATTGACAGAATGTCACTTATATTCCAAAAGCCAGGCCATCTTTTTCCATTAATAAAAAATAAAATTTAAGAGTTACATTTTTAAAGTGCACTGTAGCCTCCCCTCAGAGCCCGAGTCTCATCCCCAAGGCGGATGGGCCCTGGGTCTTCCACTCGCATGTCCTGCCAAGTCCATAGGCAGCCCTTTCTTGTGGATCTCCATCAGCAAGACAATGATCAAGCTCAAGGTTCAGTTTGTGTTATGAAAGCATTACCATTTTTCCCCCCCGAGCTCTAATAAAAGATCAAAGAATATTTTCGAAATGGAAAACCTTTTTGCTGTTCTAAGCATGTGCACTAATAGATCTTCCTAGGGACTGTTTTCCTTCCTGGAGAATCCCTGGTGTCGGAGGGCGAGGCAGATGTACACAGGATGAACGAGGAGATGCACAGAGCTCTAGGGTGGGCTTCTCTATATGGAGTGGGGCGCACGATGATAGCCGTGCTTCTAGAGGGATGCTGCTTGTCATGGTGCAAGCAAAGAGAACAGGTGTCGTTGTACCCCGAGAGATTGGTGAGGCGGAGCAGACAAAGGATGGTCCCCAACCCCAGTTCTAGAGGAGAAGTGAAACAGTGCATGAGCTGGGGATGGCGGCAGGGGCAGGAACACTGTGTGGACTGCCTCCATGCTGAAGCGGGTCCATCTAGGTCACAGGTTCTCAGAGCGTGGTTCCCAGGCCAGCAGCACCTGCTAGTCACGCACAGCCTCAGGCCCTACCCCCCAAACCAAAGCCCCAACCCCATGTGGAGCCGATTTTGAATCATAGTGATCCTATATCGAATTGTCAAGGCAGCACATCTTTGTGGAAGCAGAGAGCTTCATAGTTTTTCTGAGAAGTAGCTGGTGGGTTTGAACTTCTGACCTTATGGTTAGCAGGTAAACCCGGTATAACACCAGGACTCCTTCTGCCATGCCAAAGACGTACTAAATCCAAATCCTAGGCTGGGAGCCCCACAGTCTGTAATGCACCAAGCACCCTCATGATTCTGACTGCAGCTAGAAATGCTCCAGGGCCTGAGCCTTTCTTGCAGACCACATGTCCAAGAGGCCTGTTCAAGGATTTAAAACATGGAACTACCCAGTGGTTGTATGAGGAAGTATTTTCAATTCAACGCTTCAAAAAGGAGCCAGGCAGAGACGGTTCCTGTGTGAATCCTGAACGCCTTGAAATAGTGTGCGGGTTTATGGCAAGCTATGCCTCTAGTAGCTTGTACTGGACCTGAAGCTGGTCAGCAAGGGTGCCAAGATGCTGTGTCTGTGCGCAGATGAGTACACATACACCCATGTGTGTTCCAGTGTGGGTGGCCAGGACTTAGAACTCCTCCCTGAAATGTTTGAGGGGGACACACACTGCCTCTAAGATGCTCAAGGATAACCCAGTCCTGGCCTGAGTATGGAGACTGGCCTTCTAGTGCCTTCAATGGAAATCAGCCTTTGGCCAATTTCTTTTCTCCATGGCCGCTGCAGCCACTGGTTACGGGATTCACAAACTGCTTTGAATGCCACGGCGGCCACCTGGGTTTTCCTTGAGGAGGCTAGAGGACAGGAAGGCTAAGCTCCAAGCCCAGCCTTTGGTATGCTTTGTCCCGGCGCTCTGCCAGATGAAGACACCCATGCCTGGCCAGTGCCTGGCCAGTCTGCCGGAGGACATGCTCCTCCCTGCCCCTGCTGCCTTCTTTGCTTATTATTTTCTGACCTCTTTTAAAGTAGAATGGAGTACAGTACAATTGGGAGGAATAGATAGCTCACTGGTAGGATTCTCGCCTTCCTCCCAGGAGATCCGCGTCCAATGCCCAGCCAGTCCATCTCCTGTGCAGACACCATCCATTGGCCAGTGGAGCCCTGGCATACTGGGATACCATATGGTGCTGCAATACTGAGCAGTTTCAGCAGAGCTTCCGGACTGAGAATGGCTGGGAGCCCAACTTCTGAAGATCAGCCCCTGGAACCTTTGCAGCTCACAGTGGTCTGCTCAGTGTTTCGTTCTGATGTGCATGGGGTTTCCGTGAGCTCAGAGTCAACTCCAGGTCAGCAGCTACTACGACGACAGCACCATTAGGGCCGGTGTTGTGATCTGGGCATTGTCCCAAGGAGCGGAATCGGAAGCTCTTTGGCCCACAGACTGAAGGGGGCAGGCTAGCACCCCACCCCACCCCACCCCCCCCACCCCCGTGGTTAAGTAAGTCAGGGGAGGAGCCCTGCCCATGGCACTGGCTCATATCTCCATGAGGCTCTTGTCCATGTTGCAGCGCAGCCATGATTTGTGAGAAAGACCGTTGTCAGGACCTTACTGCGAGCTGTTGGCGATTGCTGAACTGATGGGTTTCCGGCAAGCTGGGAAGATGTCATTTTGAAAAGGACCCGCTACTTCAGCAAGGAAACCCTAGGGGGTGGGGGTGGGGGCATGTGGGGGGTGGGGGGCGGTAGGGGGGGGCAGTATTCTCTTCCTTCTCCTGCCTTCTCCTTTCTCCCATGCCATCGGCACCCTGCTCCATTCTGCGGCTCTCATGTGCTCACCGTTTATTCTTTCTCATCTTGAACCCAAGGTTTTCTCCGCAGCGAGGGGCTGGGCCCCACCACTGCTCGTTTGCCTACTGTGTGATTTGGCAGTTCCAAGCAGCGGGGTTGGGTAACGTCGTGCTGATCGATAAATGTGAAGTCAGACGTGACTCCCCTCCTCCGTGGGTCAAACAATAAGGCTCTTTTCCTTCTCTCCAGGGAGGACTGTGGTCCTGGTTTGAGCGGCGGGCCGGCCTCATTCCCGGGTCTGTTGATGAGGATGCTCTGGTCCTCTTGCTTGGTAGATTTCGTTGTGAGAAGTTCTTTTGTTTCTCTCTGGTAGCCCATTCTCTTCCTGGTGTTAGCCTCTGCGCTGTATGTATTTTAGTACAACCCCTAGCTAAGCTGCTAGAGGACAGAAAAGGCCCCGGTAAATGCATGCATAGAAAAATTAATGTTCTCAGTTGGAAGCACAGGAGGGAGTACAGTGTAATCTTTCTGGGACCTTCGCACATCAGAGGAGGACTGGATTTCCTACCGGTTCCGAAGGTCAAGTTTTTCTTTTAAGTTGTAATATATTTTTATGTGTGCATGTGAACAATTTGATACGACAGAACTTATTCCTGAGTTATCTATAATCGTACCTGGAGCAAACTTGTCAAAGGTATGTCTAAAGATTGTTCAGGATCCCGAGGAGCTGTACTTAGTAAGTGGATTGAATAAGGTGTCACATAACACAACATTCCATTGATTCATTTGTATTATTTTTATATCTTACCGCAGGCGGAGAACTCCGCGTTGGCTCTGGAAAATGAAAGCCAGAGGGAGCAGTATGAGAGATGTCTGGACGAGGTAAGATGCATGGAGAAGGATCATGGTTAGAGGCAAGGCTATGCGGCATTCTCCTCAGATTGCAGTAGGAGGGGGCCACCAAATATAGGTGGGGGGAAAAATCCATTCCCCACCTACCTTTCTGAAGCCTCCTTAAGTGTGCTACCAGAGTCCACACAACACATGCATTTTTTCCTCCAAAGAAAGTGATACACGTGTGACCCCTGAAAAGGAGGCTGTGCCCATGTCTCCCCACCCCCACCCCCCACAATTTCTTATACCCCCTTATCCCCAGTTGTCCTCTAGTCAACGCCTATTCTTGGTGACCTTATGTGCATTAGAATAGAACTGTGCTCCATACAGGAGCCCTGGTGCCACAGTGGTTATGCATGGAGCTACCAAACTACAAAGTCTGAGGTTCAAATCCGCCAGCTGCTCCTTGGGAGAAAGGTGAGGCTTTCTACACTCATCGAGAGTTAGAATCTCTGAAACCCGCAGGAGCAGTTCAACCCTGTTCTAAAGGGTCACTGGAAGTTAGCCTGGACTCGGGGGCAGCAGGTTTGGTTTTGGTTTGGGGGTTTTGTGCTCCATAGACTTTTCAATGGCTTTTCTTCCAAAGTGAATCTGGGGGGGACTTGAACCCTCCAGCCTCTTGGATAGCAGCCTTGTGCTTTGCTGTTTGCTTCACCCTGGAGTGAGCAAACTAGAGTCTAAGGGTGCTGCCTGGCTGGTACAGCCTTCCTTCGTTCCGGGGAGTGTAACCCCTGCTTAGGAATGGGAGCGTCGCTTAGGGTCTTCTCTGACGGTATTGCTTTTCCATAAAAGCCAATCCTTGATAGAGGGGCGGGGACAGTGTTCACAGTTGACTGCCGGAGAGGAAGAATCAGTAGATTGAGAACAAACCAAGAAGAGAAAGGGAAGTGAGGAAGAAAATTGGAGCACACCAGAGGATCACAGGGCCACACGCCTGAGCAACCACACTGAATATGATTTCATGATAATGAAGAGATGATGGGCGAGATGTTGGGAGCTTCTGGGAAAGGGGGTGGGGTGGGATTCTTACACATTCTTCGCCCCAGCCTGAGACACCCAGGCAGGGCTGGCCGTTCCCCTAGCTAGCACATGCTCATTTAGAACCTGGCTGGCATTTGGAGCCATCATTTAAATGGGGATGACTTCTCTAGTGCTTTGTCAGGTACCCTCCAACTAGCATTTACCCTTCTCGGTGATTCTATTTGAGATCTGTCACGGGGTAACTGATGTACAGTTGAGGAAGCCAAAAAATGAAATCTTCACCTGCATTTAATCTCTCTCCATACTTTTCCCGTCGGGAATTAGCATGTATCTCTGCCTTTTTCTTTCCCTTAGCAATAGGGAGAGCCCTTGTGGTGTAGGGCTTAGGTGGTTGGTTGCAGACGGAAAGGCTGGCGGACAAACATGCCCACCGCACCTCCACCTCCCCAACAAACATACCCACCCCATCTCCACCTCCCTGACTAACATCCCCACTACCCCCTCCACTCCCCTGACTAATATACCCACCCCACCTCCACCTCCCCAACAAACATACCCACCACCCCCTCCACTCCCCTGACTAACATACCCATCCTACCTCCACCTTCCCAACAAACATACACACTCCACCTCCACCACCCCCCAACCAGCCCCAACCATTGGCCGCTCTTGGGGACAAAGCTGAGACCGTCTGCTCTGTCAGGGAAACTCTATAGGGGAAGTTCTACCCCGAAAGTCCGAATCCGCTTGATGGCAGCAAGAGAGGGGACCAACCTCTAACAAACTCTTCTTGGTTTTTCTTAGACCCTTTCTTCTCAAATGGTTATCCGTCCGACCTCATGGGCTCCAAACACATGGGACCAAATCCCAGTCATGGGCCCTGCTTCTCTGCTCATTTATCTATGAAAGATTGAGTCTGAGACTCAAAATGGATACCTCCTCCACCCCCC